ATGAAGCTTATCCTTTTTCCGTGTCATATCCTTATCTCCGTCTTGGCGTTTATGAGTGTAAGTGTTTCCCTTCACAGTTTTCTTTAGAAAATTTCTTATTGACTTTTACTTCCGTTGCTGTGGCATATTAAATCTTAAAACAATCTGAATCTGGACTGAAATGTTATTGAAACCATGAACGAATAACAAATGGCCATTATATGCTGCAACAAAACCACCACACCGAATAATGTTTTTCTAACAATACTCTCTTACAGAGAGTATATTTTGTTTAAATGAATGTGTGTGTTTTTAAATTCATTTCTGCTCGTATTTTCTTAATGCAGCTATTGCGTTCGTTAGACGTGAATTAATTTTTAATAAGGTTACTGTTTTTTAAGTTAAATATTTTTTTCTTTCAGCGAAAAGTCTATTTACAGCGGGAAACAAACATCCGTTGTAATTTAAAATTTATATTGAAAAGTGAGTATTTACACAATACTGAAAAAAATCAACTTGTGTCTTATTCAATGTGTATATTATTATGGAAGATTTAATAGAATTTTACAAAAGATTTGAAAGAAAATAGAGCCATTTTCTTCCAATTACAATGAATGGTAAATACAATGGCCTATCTAAGGCACCCGATGTTGCTTTTCTTGATGTGTTCTAAACGGATACAACCAGTTTCATTGTTGTTATATAAGATAACGAGATATAGAGATATATAGAAGAAAGTAAAACTTAAACAATTTCAATGTAAGGCGCTGAAAAATAGCTATCTTGTTGAGACTTCGTATTCGGACTTCATATATTGTACCTTGGGAGAAAAAGTTTTTCATTTAACACCCCAAATGTAGGAAATATATCCCTAATAGTTCCATAGTTTTAAACATTTTTACTCAGGATTCCATACAAGGTGTGATGAACTTCATAAAAATATCAAATATGGGGAAATATGTTCTCTATTTGGAAATATTAGGTAAGTTAGGTATGATATCTGGGGAAACGTGTAAACAGTTTTTTCTTGAAAGTATTAACAATTATTGGCTATAAAAACATGAAATATAAAATAATGATATTATAACCCATTAAAAACTTCAAACGAAAAATGTTTAACTTTTCCATAGAAAAATATGACAGAATATCAGAATAATGTATGTGAAAACGTAGACCTATCTAGAAGGTTTAATATAATTTGACAAAAAAAAAATATTTTTAGACTAAATTCCGTCACATTTGACATACGTAGCGTGATTGGTACATCAAATACATGAATCGGCTGAAAGTATATATGGGAGCTATATCCAAATACAAACCGATTTGAATATGATTTGGCAAATTTATTCTGGTATCAAATTTTGTTACATATTTTAAATTTCATTGAAATTGGAAATACATAGCATGTTTAATACATCGAATACAAGAAAGCGGACTAAAATATGGGAGCTATATCCAAATCTATACCGATTTCAATATAATTTGGCAAATTTATTTTGTTTCCATGTATCGTTACACATTCCAAATTTTATTGAAATTGAAGATATATATCGTGTTTGATGCATCCAATAAACGAAATCGGCCGAAAACATATGTGTTAACTATATACAAACCTCGACCGATTTCAATATAGTTTGTAAAATTCGTTTTTGTACCGAACTCCGTCACTGATTCCAAATTACATTGGAATCGGGCATACATGTCGTATTTGGTATAATGGCGGCTATATAGATACTTGGCTGTTGCCAATATTCAGTATTTTGATGATTTAGCTATTTTTTAACAACTTGGTTTTTGTACGGTTTCGTATAGGCGCCATTAAACTGTATCTGTAGGTTTTCGGTATTTAGATGGTTAGTGTCCTTTTTTCACCGGAATTGTTTCAATTTGTGTATTTTCCTATGATGGAAAATTACCTTCAGAGGTCCACATCTTCGTATAACTCCCTGTATCTCTTCATATCCGGTATTTTGACGACTTAAAGCACACTTTTCACCAGAATTATTTCAGTAATTCGGATGAGCTCATACAAATTCAGGCCTTCGTGTAGCCCCCATTAGCTACATTTTTCAACTGAATTATTTTAAAATTGGAGTTTGTAAACAGTATCACCTTCTCCAGCAGGTAATAAGCTGTGAAGTTCCACGTTTTCCATTCGGAATTTTTAAAATTATAGCAATATCTGTCAACGGTTTTTTTTTTTTTCAATTTGTAATTTCTGTTTTAATGAAGCTGCAAAATCCAGTCTTATCTCGCTTAATGACAAAATGTCTTTCACTTTGTATTTGTGGAACCTTTAAAATACGAATTTTCAAAAATCGTCACTTTTCCACCCAATCACACGAATTGTGTCCCTAAAGCCAAATTTCCATACATTTCAATGTATAATTTTCATAATTTTCCTCAAACAAAAAATTTTTTGATTCCTCGCACTAATGGCCTTCGTGAGAAAAACACTGTTTTTTACCTCTTAGTATAAATTTTCAAAATGGGCACTTTCACCTACTTACACACCAAGTGATACGATTCGTTGGTATGATTCGTTAAGAAGACCTAAATTTAAAATTCCAAGAATCGATCAAATAATTGTCCAAAAGATTTTTAATTTTTATTTTTGAAAAAGAGATTTGTAATTTTATTTTTGTAAATATTTGTCAATATGACTATGTTTGTCTTTTCGTGGTTTTCCTACGTAACCAATCATAAAAATATGTCCATGGATAATAAGACTTAAAACGACTTTAAATAGAAACCACCACGCACACGTCTCTGTGTGTCTGTTTGAATACTCTCATCTCCATCGCTAATTTTTCTACGCAGTTTCCGTCGTAGACAGAACCATAATGGCTGGCATTTGGCTAAAATGCCTTTGGTGGAAATTCAAGAATTCGCGGTAATGGCCTTACGACTTTATGCTTACCAGAGCCACACTCTGTTAACAGGAAATTGAAGCTAGAAACAATTGCGTTGGGGTTGGCTCATCGTGGCTTTGTGCGTATCTGTGTCGGTGGAGGATGTTTTTGCTTGGGAGTATCAAGTGATTTTATAATTGCAGATTTTTGTGTTAATGATTTTCATTTCGCCATGATGTATAGCTAGATGATGTGCCATAATTTGCCATTAAACCTAACATTGCCTGTGACAAGAGCTGTACACAGAGGATTATGAATACTCCCATAAGAAAGACCATTACCTCCATCTTGCTGCCATCATTTATTGAGTTCACCAACCATGTCCTAATAGCATTTCAAAAAATTATGTATAATGGAAATATCTGTACATTGCCAAGTTGTGCGAAATGCTTTATTATAGCGCTTGTAATACAATATGCTAACAGTTAATGGAAAGTTATAATTTTTATTGTTTAAAATTCAAAACCTCTAAAGTAAAATTTTCTTCTTTCATTCAATATTTTGGAGGATTGTCAGATTTCGTACATTATTATACCAAACTCCATAAGAATTTTCTAAAAACCCATAAAGTATATATTTTCGTGTACAGCATAACTTTCTCGATCTGTTAAAATCAAGATAGAAGTAGCAATGTGATAGATTAAAGAACTAACTTTGGCAAATATGTTTGTATTACTCCTAAAAAAATGTCTTTATTTTATGTGTTTTTAAATGTACTTCGGACCATCTGAACTCAACGTCGCCTTTGCTTGTTTGTTGTCCTTTTTATACCTTCATCCTTTATAGATCCTAGGTCTCCTTGAACCAAATCCGTTTCAGGACATTTGTAGTTGATCTAACGATGTCTGTCCGCCCGTCTGTCTGTCTGGTTGGTGCGCACGATAATTCTCTGAGGAAGTATCCGATTTGGTCCAACCTTGGTGCAACGTACTATTATTATCAAACAAAGATCGACCTCGAAGATGGGCGATATCGGTCCACACTTCCACCACATAATTTTCATAAAAAGCAAGTAGATAAATGGTTCCAACTTTGCAAATCCTAATATTCGCATCAGTGCTCGATCAGGTGTGAAAATGGACAATGTCGATCCACTCCACACTCCCCACAAAGGTTCAACATTCTAAATAATTTTAACTCTTATAAAATAAGAAATAAATAATAGCCCGATTGTCTTAAAATTACACACATCTCAATATTTGTATTTACCCAAGATGGAATATATCTGTCCACTCCTTCTGGTCCCCCCCAAACATTGAGTCAAACTTTTTAATAATCATGAAGCTCATAAGGCGCGAATTCATGCTGGCAATACATATTTACCTATTTCACTTTTTTCACCACCACTGCAAGCTGTCCTCGCTATGGTGCATTTGTAAACAACAAACTCCTGTTTTCTGTTTTTTCCAAACATTTTTTGCCATAATTTCTAAGTTAGCTTGTTTACACTCTTGCAAATGATTAGTTCCCGTTGGCAAATTTTCTTTTTGGCTTTGAAATTAATTTTAGTTATCCGCAGCTATTTTTGGATTTTTGCAATGGGTGGATGTTGTGGCAGGCAAACTGCACCAAAACTTTATTGGAGCTAATCTCTTTGTTTGCAGTAAAGCTCTTGATATTGAATTTATATCAATGCAAGTAGCCATCATCTGCATGGTGGGATATAAAGTCACTGTGTCAATCTGCTTTCCGAAATGTATGTTTATAGTTTTGTTTGCTTTAATTTTAGCTCTAAATGTTTTAAACACTAAATTTCAAATACATACACGAAAGCGTTTACGTTCAAGACTTTGGGAATAAAAGGACAATTTACTAGGCTGTTAAGTCTAGATAGACCTCGAAATATTTAAAAACAAGTTTTGAAATTTGGCACAGACATTGATATTATGTCAAGAATGTATGAGGTACAGTTATATGGAGACTTTACTGAAACATGGATCTATATATTTTCTACTGTGACGACGCATCTTTTTAGTAATAGCCACTCCAGAGTTCACTACCTTAAATCTAACCGACAGTGAAAAAATCAACTGTAATATTCTCTTGTCAATGTGTTTATGATCGAAAATATTTATGAAATGAACTATATATATTATGAATTGGACTTACCCAAATAATCCAACGTAGTCTCCGGACCTGTTGACGGGGAAAATGATGAAGATAGAATAGCTTCATCATATTCCTCGTCAACAGATTCAAAATTTCATATGCACTCTTAATTTATCTGTTAATTAAGTGATGGATATCCGATGTTATTTCTGGAAAATTTGTAGCAGCGGGAATCTTGAGGGTAGTGTTTCTTTTTCAATTTTCTAAACCTTCTAACAATTATAAAAGTTGACTAAATTTCACTCAAGATATATATACAATGCGAATTTCATGATAGCTTACAATTTGGCATTGGAATTGAAATGCATTTGAATCCCAAAAAAGTGGTTTGAATTCTGAATTTTTTTATGAATCCATTTTACATCATTCGATTTTCATTGATACAGCACTAATGACGTGCTTTCAATTCGTCACCAAATTCCAAGGATAATAACTTTCTTATAATTCCAGCTGGTGGCTTCTCGTTCTTATTTGACGATATTTATTTTCTTCAGGTTTTAACTTATCTGAATCTGTATGATTTCTTTATTTTTCAAATAATTTTTATTTATCTTCTTTTTATATTTGAAGTAATAATTCTCAATATAAAAATTTAAATGACAAATCCTTTTTTGCTCAGCCTACTACTCACATAAATTCTTATTATGAAAATAAATGAGCTTGGGTTTCGACATGAGTGCACAGAGTGCACAACCTAACATTTTGTTTACAACCGTACAAAAGCATTTTGGCGAGAATTTTCCAGAAAAAAATTATTCGTGATGGAACTCAAGCGTGATAGGGTGATTTCTTTATATTTGGCTGGAAAACCACAAGTGGCTATCGTTAGGGCACTACAGCATTTAAATGTGAATAAATCTTTTGTGTCTCGTACCATCGCTCGTTATCGTGATGCTGGTAGTGTAGACCGACGTCAAGAAAGTCGACTGAAGAAAACAGCAACATCAGCAGAAATGGTTGGAAACGTAAAGAAGACTTGATCGAAACTCGTGTCGCAGTGGCCGAAAAATGGCTCGTGAGATGAACATATCGCAATATTCCATTCGGCAAATATTGAAAAATGAGCTTGGGGTAAAGCTATTGAAATTCTAAAAAGTGCAAGAATCAACAGAGCTAAAGAGTTGCTTCGCTTGGCTGAAAGTGGTGAACTGCCGAATTTGGTTATTTTCGATGAGAAAACATTCGTTGTCCAGCAGTCAAAGAGGTCAGCTGAAACTGTGCACCTTCGGTTGGTCGCCAGAACTCAAGCGCTGGCCATGGTTATGGTGTGGGCCGCCATAACAGCCGATGCTCGTTCTCCGCTCGTATTAATCGACCGCACGCAACCATTTTGGCCGCAGACCTTGGACATTCCAACAGGACTCAGCACCATTGCACTCAGCACGCACCAACCAAGAATGGTTACAAAACGAGGTTCCTCGCTTCATTTCCAGCACACAATGGCCACCAATTTCTACGGATACCAATCCGTTGGATTATGGTCCCTGGAGTATTTGGGAAAGCAAGTTTGGCAATAAAAAATACCTAAGTGTTGATCACCTCAAGCAAGCACTTCGCCGGGAATGGGCCAAAATACCGCAAAGCAACATTCGGGCAGCGTGTGATGGTTTCATTGTCCGTTTGTAGGCCATAATTCGTGCCAAAAGTGACTACTTAGAACAAATCTAAACTTATTCTAAAATTTGATGCTATTACCGACATTTTTTGCTTTCATTCAAAAAAATTAAAAAAAAGTAAAAATTATGCGTTTGAGGTTGTTGTAGTTTTTTATCTCACCCTGTATGAATAATTGATATATATATAACATTTGATCCTAAGTCTTTTTGACATAAAAATTAACAGGCAGAGCTGTACTTTTTACCAACTCGCTTCCTGGCCGACCTTATATTGGCCTTGGTTCCGACAAATGTTTTTTTTGTAATTTTCGCCTATGTTTCTACGACACTACTACTCATGCCAATTCCTATAACATTCGTATCAAAACTCATGCTTTACAGTACTAGGAAAATTAAATGACTTTTTTTGACATGGTTCAAAATCACACTACATACTTGACCTGAAACAGAGCAACTGTGAGCACAAACTACCTACATTTTACAGCAATTCGATTTAATTATAATTAAAAAATCCACATTACCTTTAATCTAGCAGTACCGTTGAACAGAAGTTATATCAAAACATTGGCCTATATGACCCCTTTTCAAAATTCTACTTCCTCTGGATTTTTCCTATAACAAAAGAAAAATAATTTTGTCGCTCAGGGTTACGTCTACCAATAATGAAATTTGAAATATTTTTGTGCAACAATTTAACGCCAAAATAATGTTGATAGTTCATCAGACGCCAATAAATAAATGGCACATCATTCTCCCACATTTACCTTAATTTCTCATTGCAAACCAATAATAATATTGGCTGGTGGTTGTGGTGTCATGGTCAAATGCCACAACATAATTATACAACATCATTGATACTAATAACATTAAAAACCACTTCGTGTTCGTACAAATGTACCGAGTGAAACTCGGTTAATTAACTGATAATGTCAAAAGTTAAAATCGTATTAACGACAATGTTGCACTGCAAGTAGTGAATATTGAGTTGAGAAATGGGTTCAATGATTGCTTTGTGGCTGTGGCCACACAAATGTTATGACACATTTAGAAAAATACCGAATATCGGGAGGTACCGTTATATGGGGATCATACGAAGACGTAGACCTACGCAGACAATCTCCTCTCATAGGCTGTAGCATCCATTACGAACATCAAATACCAAATTTGAGACAATGCCGGTGAATAATGTCGCTAAAATTATCAAAATACAGAATATCGAGAGGTACCGTTATATAATGACAATAGCAATCCGTGGACCTACATGGCCCATTTTCAATACAAAAAGTCCTGCAGACATAGCATACATTTGAGTAAAATTTTATCAATCTACTTCAATTCGTTCGGAAGCTAGAGTGATTTCCACAGACGGATAGACGGGCGGACATCGCTAAATCGAGATAGAATTTTATGCTGATCAACAATATATATACTTTGTGGAGTCTAAACTGTGTATTTCGAGGCGTTACAAACGGAATGACAAACTTTATATACCCTTCATACTATGGTGGAGGGTATATCAATTTTAATTAAACTGTGCAACACTAAATATAATTATAGGAAAAATTCAGTAGATTATGAAAGTGGAGAGTAACCAGTAAGGAAAGGACAAAAGTCGGGCGGGGCCGACTATATGATACCCTACACCACTATGAGTATATAGTAGAGCTCCCGTAACAAAAAAGTTTATACTAGGAATTTATGTGATGAAAATCATACCACCTATGAAGTGAATAACAGTGCTGTATAGAGGATGATATGACTTCGATAAGGATTATATTAATATTTATTGAGCAATAGATATACCGGACCGAGTTTCACCGAATGGTAAAATATGAAAAAATGTATTCAATTTGGGCCGATATTAGATATATGGTGAGCAATACCCGTGAAATCGAACCGATCTCTATAAAATTTGGCAGAGGTATTTTTGAGCTGCATCTGATGTCCGGTATCAAATATCCTTGTTGTGGAGTGCATATTACACATGTGCGGGGCTTTAACACCAAATCGGATGCAACATATACATTGGAGCTATAGCTATATCTGAACCGATTTTCACCAATTAAACTTGAAATTTAATTAAAATGAAGTTGCATAATTTTAAACAAAATTCTTATGTGGCATAATCAGAGTAGTGCTCTGGTAAAATACGGGTTAAGGAAAATCGTAAACTGTGATGTATGAGAATTACGACGATGATATTACGGTGATGAGTGGTCGTCGGGAATGTTCGAGTTATGGATGATCCGAGGGTATTGGGGAATACTGGTGAACGGTCGTCTTGGAGAACAAAGATAACGTTCGGATTGTAGACGAATTGAAGATAATCGAGGACTCTGATGAACAGACGGAAAATGGTTTGAAATGGAAAATGGGGAAAATGATAAATGGTCGTCGGCTGTTCTGGGATTACGATGATGTTCTTCGGGTTGAATGTGATTTTAAGATAATAAAGAACTCTGTTAAATGGATGGGGTTACGGGCGATTCGAGGATAATCGGGTATTCTGTTGCGGGTTGCAGACGAGTTGAAGATAATCGGGAACTTTGATGAAAGGACATCGAGTATCCAAGGATGGCGAAGATGATGTTCGGCTTGGAGACGATTGGAAAATAATCGGCAACTCTGATGAACGGGGATGGAAGTCGGGTTCCAGGGATCCGGATGTTCGGGTTATGGATGATACGAGGATAATCGTAAATCCTGATGAACGGTCGTCGAGGACACCGATAATGAAGCTTGCGGTATAATTGGATAAAATATGGACAAAAATTACACTTTTTGTAGGGAAATAAATCTTTAGAGAAATATAAAACATGATCTTCAATATAAATTTTGACCTTTTATTCATTTTTCAAAAAAACAACTTGTTGCATTTGTTTTCATAGTTATTCTGACATTACAATCCATATAGGTACGTCTCTTTACATGCAACATTTTCCAATTTAGCCAGCTTTTCTTTATTATATCATGTTCCCAACTAATGAAGAACAAAAGAACAAATGATTGCAAAATCAAGACCTTACCTTTAGGCAAGCCTCCTGCAGGAGAGGGTCTCCTTTGTCCACCGAATAGAAAACTATTTATCTCACCACCATAGTAATGTCAATGCGAATTATTTTGCATGCCACGACAAGTGGTGTAAGCATTGCATATGGTGGTTGATTTGTTCGTCGGTTTATTACGTTTCTTGAGTTGTATGTTGGGCTATGTGTTGTAAGTATGTTTTGTTAATGGTCGCTATTGAGTGATCGTGTTTGTCACGTTACAGGTCCAAAATCGACAATTCTGCGTATTTAGGTACCCATTGAGCGAAACATGAGCTTCGTTGCTAAACACAATATCTCGATAAAAAAAGTACATCTACGGTCAACTTTCCAAAAGCCCCCAAGAAACAAGCGTAAGCTGTTCTATTTCCATTGCAGGTGTTTACGAAAATAGAGTTTTTAGCTGTTATCGAACAAAAATTTAATTAAAATAATGTTTGATAAGTTTTAACAGGAACATTCTATGTTGCTATTCTATACAAACAAGATTAACATTTTTCTTCCGTCTTAAAATATAACCAAAAATAAGTCATAATAAGAATCAGAAAATAGAGTACAGAAAACCATTCCCGATTCAACAATTATTTACAATGGGATTAAGGGCAAACTATGAGCCAAAAAACACAGTGAACCAAAAAACGAAGCTGTATGACATTTTGCCATATCATATTCTTAAGTAGGCCAGAAATTGTGGGGATACCTCACTATCGGCTTTATGGACTAAACTTTCTTTAGAAAAATAACTTCTTCTTGGATAGCAATTCTAAAAATGAAGAGAAATCCTAACCACAGTCTATGCCATAGGAATTCGGAGAAAATAGCTACAACTACTTAACATTATTGTTAAACTATTGTTTGTGGCAAAATAGGCGAGAACAATGAAACGTTAAAGTTTAATATAATGAAAAGTGT